CCCTTCTCCTGCTCTGCAGCTCCCTCGCAGTAGGGGGCAGCCAGGGGCGATTGGTCTCTTCTTTTAAGTGACAAGCGATAGGACGAGAGAAAAGGGCCTCAAGTTGTGCCAGAGGAGGTTTAGATTGGACATTAGGGAAAATATCTTCCTCAAAAGGGCTGCCAAGCCGTGGCCCAGGCTTCCCAAGGCACTGATGGAATCCCCACCCCTGGGGGGATTTCAAAGCTGTGGAGATGTGGTGCTCAGGCCCACGGGTTAGCGGTGGGCTTGGCATCGCTAGGTTTTCTGTTGGACTTGAAGATCTTAAAGGTCTTTTCCAGGCTAAATGATTCTATGACCCTACGAACTACCCATCTCTGGGATTTACCACCTCTGGGACAGGCAGAGGCCCATCATTCTTCCACTGCTCTAACCTCCAAACGGACCAGCTCCCGGCTGGCTGCGAAAGCTGTACCAGACTGACATCACGTCACTGGCTCTGAAGTGGGGAAACACAAGCCCAGAGGGGCCATCCCTAGGACAACAGTCCAAACAGGATCTCGGTTACAAGAACCAATCACACTGACAGGAAGTAGAATTTGTCCCCCTCAGAGAAGCAAACCACAGTTTAGAGATTGTGGAAAGGTGTTGGCTTTTATAGACCTGAAATCTGTCCCTTTCTCAGCTTCAGAAACACTTAAGGATTACCTGATTTGGGCAGTGGACTCTTCGGTACATCTTTATCTCTGTTTTCCATTTGCACAGCACATCTTGACTAAATGTGGGCAGTCCAGGACGAGTGTATTTCAGCTGAGATAAACGGATGGAATTGAAAGCTGGAAGCAATGCTGGCTACACAGTGCCACGTATATTCCTTTCCCTCCCAGGCTGTGATACAGTAGTGCTATTTCTTCTACTTCAACAGCCAAACTCTCAATAACCAATCTTTCCCTGTCTTATTGACTCTCTACAAACACAATTGAATCTGAAAAACCCTCATAATACCACAATTCAAAAGTCCCCATAACTTTGACTACAACAATCCTTCTAAATGCGCCTCCCCCATTAAAATTATAAATGATCTTCTTCCCTTGGGTTTCCCTTATAGCTTAAAAGATGCTCCTAGAAACTATAAAGCCTGAAAAATTATGAAATAATATCACTGCATGGCAGGGCTGACCTGTAGCGTGTGGCTTGTGAGCAACATACTGCCTGTAACTGTCTTCATCACTCAAGCCCACTGAAAATTACAGCAACAGGACTTGAAAGTCATTATAGCTTGCCTGGACAAAATACTTACACCACCGCAACTGCTACCGTAGCAATATTGTAATCTAAGACCAGAGAGCAAAACCTGATCCCTCCCAAAAGATATAACTTCTTCAGTATCGCTCTCCATGGGCCACTAAACACTGGCAACACTGGGCAGATGCCGGTGTAGGACCCAGCTGATGTGCAGAAAGACTCAAATCCTGTATTGCATTTTTAAGGCCTTGTACCTTCCGGTCATCTGGAATCAAGTCCTGCAGAACTTTTCTCTTGGGCCACTCTTTGGCCAGCTCTTCTCCAGCCAGCTCATGGAGATAGTAGATTGCCACCTTTGCAGATTTCCTCTGAACTCTGCCTGCATTGTTTGGCTCCCGTTTTGTTTCCTTCAAGCTCTCTGTTCTTCTCTCCTCATGGAGGAAAGTGACCTGCAATGAAGGTCAATGATCTTAAAGGTCTTTTCCAGTCTAGGCCACTCTGTGATTCTGTATGATTCTGTGAAGGCCAAAAAAGGTGAGCCTCCTTCACCAGTTCCTCTTTTAGGTACACTAAATTCTGCCAAATCCCTCTCAAAAATGGTGCTGCAGCTGCAGTTCCCTGTCACAGACAGGAGAAGTGCACCCCATCAGCAAGACAGACCCCAAATCTACTCAAGGGAGTCTCAGCAGCAAGGCTCAAGTAGAGAGTTTCATGGAGCCACTGGTCCTGAAAAGGGTATCACATGTCCATGAGGACAACAACCATTGTACTGCCTGTTCTGCTCCAATGTTGGGTCTTTTAAGAGCAAAGAAAAGCATCTCACAGATTATACATGTTGACATCATTCTTCCATGGAGCAAAAGTCAGGCCTGGAAAAGTTTACTGCTGCCATGGAGAATTGCTATTAAAAACTTTATTCTAGTCACAAAACAGCAACAGCTCCTGCTATAAGGAAAGTATGAAGGAGAGACCACTCCAGAGAAACAAAAACATGCAAAGATTTGCTATCCCTCATCATCCTCCCCAGGAGCAGACGGCCAGAGCATCACTGCGCTGACCCGTAATTATGGCAAGCTGCACTTACTGGCCCGTGCTTAGATCGCAGATGGTAGACAAGTCCTGCTTTTGATTTGTATGCTTTTCCACAGTGATGGCACTTCATAGCCATTTTCTCCAGCTCAGAAGCAGCCTTCCCACACTTTTTAACATGATATAGGTATCCCATTATGCTCGTGAAGCTGCCTGTGCAGCCCTGTCAATGCAAAAGAAAAATGCATGGAAGAAAAACACTCAAGTGATCACAAGACCACTGCGTATAGAATCCACACTTTGTTGACCACGTACTTCTTTCCCACACACCAATCAGTAGTAAACTGGAATGTTAATCTACTCAGACAGATAAAACCTGGGACAAAGAACGGGCTGCAACTGGAAGGAATTGTTTCTTAGAACTTCTTTGTAGGCAGTGGACAACAGGAAATTTCAATGTGTGGAAGGAATGAAGAAGCAAGATGTCAAATGAGAGCATACAAAATGGAAAAATTTTCAGATACAAATGGAGGAGCTGGCCAGAAAAAGGGGCAAGTTTTATACTTGGTTGGCTGGTGAAACTTTCAGCTATTCCTAGGATACAGCTATTGGCTCATGCTGCAGTGGAAGGCAACAAAAACTCCAATGGTTCCTGCAGATGTCGCTTAGTAGGGTATTGTCTAACCCTGACTCCAGTGACAAACTTGACACGAAGCTTGGAAACAGGACAAATAACACACTGCAGCAAGATTTTAATGTTCTCAAATGCATCCATCTGCCCTCCATTGCCTTCTTTAGCTGTGGCCAATCTCGTCATTTTCAAAAACCACAGTCAAACTTGCACAGTTAATTATGCATAAAGACATCTTCCCAGCTACTACAAACAGCTAAGGAAAGAGCAGAAGCACACCTTAATAAAAGACTTTTGGTGCACACAAGAAACAGTCCAGTGTCCTCTCAATCCACCTTGAAGACACCAACACATCAAATATGCAGAGCTCTAGCTGACCCTGCTTGAGCACCATGGGTGAACTAGATGACCTCAAAAGTGTTTTAAAGAAGATGGCCTTTAAAAGTTCCTTTCAACCCAAACCATTCTGTGATTCTATAATGCTCTGTCTTAAAAACATAGCTAGGATCTCAAAACAAATCCAGCTTTGGTCAGCACCAAAGCACACCCAGCAGAACTCTCATAGTATTTATATTCGTGTGTCCACTGCTGTTTAATTCAGGATACTCAGCACAATGCAGCTTACCTCCTTTGTACACTTCAGTTTTCCCATACGCTTCAGAACCTTCCGAAGCCGATCTCGCTCAAGCTGCTCATCCAATTCTCCTCCCTCCTTCATAACTGGCTAAAGCACAGCAGAAAGACCAAGGAAAAACACAGGATGCTCAGCATTTACAGTTCTCATAGGTAATTCACTGCTCAACACACTACTGAAGGCAAACTTCAAAAATAATTAAATTTCTGCAATTTATAATTTTACAGAAGTGTATCTAATACAATGATCCCTGCCTATACCCCAGAACCACTGTAGCATCTTCAAAACGAGTAAACTGCCTGAAATCCACTTTGCAGATAAGAGATTTAGCATTTAGATAGCTACCTATGAACAAATCCTTGCTAAGAAATGGTCCCAAACTACAGCAGCTGGGAAGGACAAGGACATGTATTTCCATAATTACCTTTCTCCCCTTCTGCCTGTGGAAAGTAATCACTCATCTCTGTCACAACTCTAACATCTACTGGTCCTACCTCTTCCACTCAGCCTGACCAAAGCTGCTCACGCTAACTGTCTCTAATAGCTACTCATCTATGCTAAACTACAGCTCAAGTTTTTTCTCTGACAGTTAATCTATAGTAGTTCCTACACTACCTTATAATAACGTTACACCTAGACTGAATAAAAAGGTAGAACTGACTGACAGACCTATTTCTCAGAACATCAGCCCCGGCCTCTTTCATTTACTAGTACAGCTAGCACTGGGACCTATGTAAAAAATAAAAGTAATGAATTATCTAAATCTTACCCAAACTTCTGAATGACCTTTTCAAAAGTTCTAATTCTTCACAACTACAACTGAAGACATTACCTTCTTTACAGTAATAGCAAAGAGGAAAAGTAGACTGTAGCATTAGTATCTTTACAGTAAATAGAGACAAGAACTAAAGTGCTGCTTCTGGTTTTTTACCTTTGAGCTTGTAAAAAACTGAAATCTGGTCTGCTCTGGATGTAGAAAAACCCCTACTTTCTAGCAAAGAACCAAAAATTGCAGGCTAATGAGCAATTTTTTTTTTCTGACTGAAAATGCCTTTTATGTGTGACATATAACCACCGTAAACAGCAATTAACTCCCTTTCTAAGAGGTAGCACAGCTACCATCTCGGCTAGCAATCTACTGTTTTTTCAGATGTCAAATCTCACAAGTAAAGTAACAGGTAGACAAGGTTTGAACAGCTATGATATTTGAAAAAACACACCACATTCTGTTTCTGTGTGCACCAGGGAAGGAACAAAAGACTGTCTTGCCTGCAGAACTTCTAGCTGCACAGCAGTTGTGTTACCTGGTTGTTATGGCCTGCCATGACATGGTATTTCATCCCTCCTAAAGACTTCAGCTGCTTCCCACAGTGATGACACGTGAACATTTCCTGGGAATAAACAAGGACACGGTGCATGTAACTGTAAACGAACAAAAGCATTGGGAAACTCTTAGAAGTCAGAGAGTTGTGGTCAATGGGGCAGAGTCTAGTTGGAGGCCTGCGTCTAGCAGAGTCCCTCAGAGGTTGGTACTGGTACCAGCACTACACAATATATTCATCAATGACCCGGACAAGGGATTAGAGAGCGCTGTCAGCCAGTTTGCTGATGACACAAAACTGGGAGGAGTGGTTGACACACCAGCAGGCTGTGCTGCCATCCAGAGAGACCTGGACAGGCTGGAGGGCTGGGCGGGAAGAAATCTTATGAAGTTCAACAAGGTCAAGTGTAGAGTTTTGCACCTGGGAAAGAACAACCCCATGTGCCAGTATAGGTTGGGGACTGACCTGCTGGAGAGCAGCGCAGGGAAAGGGCCCTGGGGGTGCTGGTGGGCAGCAGGATGGCCATGAGCCAGCAGTGTGCCCTCGTGGCCAAGAAGGCCAATGGCTTCCTGGGCTGGGTTAGAAGGGGAGTATCTAGTAAGCCTAGAGACGTCCTCCTGCCCCCCTACTCTGCCCTGGTGAGGCCACATCTGGAATCTTGTGTCCAGTTCTGGGCCCCTCAGCTCCAGAGGGACAGGGAACTGCTGGAGAGAGTCCAGCACAGCCACAGGGATGATGGAGGGATGGAACATCTCCCTGGGGAGGAAAGGCTGAAGGAGCTGGGGCTCTGCAGCTGGAGAAGAGGAGCCTGAGGGGTGACCTCACTCCTGGTTATAAATATGTCAAGGGGGAGTGTCAGGAGGACAGTGCCAGGCTCTTTTCGGCGACGTCCAATGAGAGGACAAGGGGCAATGAGTACAAGCTGGAACATAGGAGGTTCCACAAAAATATTAGAAAAAACTTTTTCACTGTGAGCGTGACGGAGCCCTGGCACAGGCTGCCCAGGGACATTGTGGAGTCTCCTGCTCTGGAGACTTTCAAAACCCGCCTGGACACGTTCCTGCATGATCTGCTCTGGGTGATCCTGCTCTGGCAGGGGATTGGACTAGATGATCTTTTGAGGTCCCTTCCAACCATTAACATTCTGTGATTCTGTGACTCTTTGGGGAAAAGGAGCAGGAGAGCAGAACATTTTATCTGGGCCAGGTAATTGCCCCTTAAGAACAGAAGAGATTTTATGGAGCCTACAACATAGGGGAATGCTGAAACAGCTGCACCTTCATTCACTACCTCACACCTCCAGCAAAAGGCTCAGCAAGAAGCACCGAGTGCAGCCTCTTAGAGTTGTATAAAGGACTCCTGCTTAGAGACGTGATGACAAGATGAAACTGGGTTTAAATACAACAGCGTGCAGGCATTTCTATCACTAAGCTACAGGGGAATAACAAAAACATTGCTCATCTCTCACGTTCTTACCTGCCTGCAATTTACCATATGTTTCTTCAGTCCTTCTACCGTCTTCCTCACCACAGCCCGGCACGTGGGACAGGTAACTCGGCCTTTGTCCTGAATTTCCAAAGACCATTTTTCTTCCATACTACCTGTTGAAACAAAAGATGTGGAATGGAACTTCAAATGTACTATCTTTTCTTTTTTCCTGTAACGTACACCACGAATCCTAGAAGGAAACAGGTCACATGCCACCGAACTCGTCTCCAGCTACACTTCAGCAGGTTTAGCTCATTAGCAGCTTTAAATGTGTCGGGTGACAGGGCACACATCGCTCCTTTTGGGAGATCATTTTATTAAAACTCTTTAATCCTACCATCTCCTTGCAAAGATTGTTCTTCCACTTGTTCAGCAGAGATTCCTCCCTCATTCATTTTTATTACAATTACTTTAGCAGGCGGAGTAAACTTTTCTTTTGGCAAGAGGGTTTTCACAGTAAAAGAAGTCATAGGCATGACTGAACAGCTTCAGACAAAGCCCACAGTTCAGTTCTACCAACCAAATCTTCAGAACTCCACTTATGTTAGCGAGTAGTGCTGGCACCAAAAGCAAAGAGCCGCACCACCAGGCCACGTTACTCAACAGTCAGGGAAAAGCACCCTGTGGGGCACGCTTTCCAGTTCCTCGCCTCTTTTCAAAAGGACAAGCAAAAGCTTGGCATAACCCACAAAGATTATAAAATACTGAAATGGGTTCTGGGAAGAAAGTGACGTAGCAGCTATCTGCCTGAATTCTTTCCGTAAAAAGATCTATAAGTGTTCCTCTTTCCCCAGTAATAACAGGCAGGAGCTGACCCTCCCCAGGTGGCTGTGGAAACGTCTGTGAACCAAACAGCACTCAGCAGAAAACAGGTACTTCATGAGTGCTGCTTACCAGAAGAGGTGATTTGGCAGCAACAGTTACAGAGCTTTTCCTGCAAACATATTCCGCTAAGTGAAAAAAGCTAAGTATTTTTGAGTTCAATAGTGAAACCACTTTAACAGGCTCTTCTCAGCTAAAAAAGTGATTCCCCCTTCACGGTTCCATTATGTAGTGGTAAAGCCACGTGGAACTACGCTATTAGGCAGCATGCAGTCCCTCCAATCTTGCTCTGCAGTACTGACACGGTGCCAAAAGGAGAGCAGCCAGTTCTTCCTTGTCAATAGTAAAGTGAACAAGAAAATGGAAACACCAGAAACACAGCTGTTGCTCAGATTCAAATCCTAGAATCACATTTATCTTTTAGCTGCTTTACAGACAATTCTGAGCAACCGCTGCTTCTTCTTACCTGCGCCATAGGCTTCTGGTTCTTTCTGAACACTGTGGCTTTTCGTTTTGGAGTTTTGTTGTGTTCCAGCTTGCTGTTTTTTTCCTATTATAACACACACATCAAAAATGAGACCAGAAGACTTAATTCTGTGAGCCTTGTTAAAAAAAGTAGAAAGTTCTTGCTAGGAGACTGTTATTTAGTCTGCTGTCTCAAAGCTACTAATTCAGAAATGTTCAACATTTTGGGATTTTTTTTTAAGGAATTTCAAGATTATGTTCCCTACCCCCTTTCAAAATCCACAGCTATTTACAGCTGCAGGCATTAGTCCCATCCAGATCTCTGCAACCTGTATGGCTGCTCGTACGCAGAGGTCAGGGGCTGAGAACTCTCACAGTATGGCCAAGTCAATCCAATGCCTTGTTGACAGCCAAACAGACAGTCCCATTCCTGTACTCACTCCTGTTCTGTTTAGACTAAACAACTCATTATTTCACTATTTTCTCATGGGTTACATTTTTTGCTCACTTGTCCCTGCTCTCTTCAGTTGGTCCACACATTTCCTGAACTGCAGTGCCAGCTGCTGGAAGCAGCACTCCACGTGTGACTCCGCGTCAGAGCAAGAGAGTCACTTCACACGTCCTAAA